TTAAGATTGGATTTTATGAGTTTTAAAGCGATTTAGGTCAAATTTAAATTGATAGAGTGACAAGAGACAATTCATCAATTTTTGAGTGATTGAAGAGGACGCTCGAAAAATGGTCATTGCAACATCAACCTAACATATTAATAAAACTGTAAAACTTTCATATTTAGAGAAAGATGATAAAATAAGAAGAAAAAATGATGGACGACACATGGATTTCATGTTAACAAAAATAGTCCACATCAGCACATATGGTTATCATGTCACCAGTTATTTACGATTTAACACCCGAACGATTAAAATATGTAAAATAAAAAATTAACTAGTAAATTGAAAAAATTTAAACTTTAATGACAAGATAGAAATGAAAAGAAAGTTGAGCGACAACATTTATAATTTATCCTTATTTAAAATAAAACTAAAAAATTCATTTATGATTTAACACAAGAATGATTAAAATATGATCAAATAAAACATTTAACGAGTAAATTCAAATTTTTTAAACTTGGATTAAAGGTCAGCTTTGCCCTTTAGTAGACCAAGTTTATTATTTTCACCCATATAATATTTTTGCATCAATTTAATCCTCGAAATTGCTCAATTGCACCATTCTATAACCTATCCCCAACTTAAAACCCTAAATTATAAATTGTAAGTTAGTGTTTAGAGGTCAAAGGGTTGTGGTTTAGGGTTTAGGAATTATAACTTAGGGTTTTAAGTTAGTGGTAGGGTTATAGAATGATGCAATTGAGCAACTTCGATGACTAAATTAATGCGAAAATACGATAGGGGCGAAAGTGATAAATTGGGTATACTACGGGGCAAAAGTTACTCTTTTGCCTTTAAACTTTAATGACAAAATAGAAATGAATAGAAAGTCGAGTGATAACATTTATAATTCATTAGATGATTATTGTATAAATATTAATTAAAATAATAAATAATTAAAGTATTGAAATCGAGATTTATAATGTAGTTTTCTCGTAATTAATTTAATTTATGTGATGAATGATAACTATTTGAAATTGAAAAAAAGTTTATGTTTTGCATTAAAATATTTAATGAGGATCGATTTGAATTATCCCCCTAAATGCTAAATCTACCACTAGTGATTGAATAAGCATTTGAATATTTTAAGCCATTCATCATTAACAGGCATGAATGACCACACTAATTGAGCCAGCAATCTCCAATGTGTGTCCGTTAATGGAATTACAAATCTATATACTGTCTCCTATGGTAAACTATCTTCGAGTCATCAATCTTTCAATTTATTTTTAATTAAGCAATCTTATTACAAATCTCTATAATTTCTAATTGAGATAATAATACATTTTTTTTTATCAATACGAGATAAGTTCGGGGCTATATATGCTTAAAGATAACTCACAATCACTTGACATTTAATGTGCATTCCCCTTTCATTCAAGGTGCTCGAAAACTTTAGACCTCAAAGAATAACAATAATTCATTCACCATCAATGTTGCTTGGTTCGTGTAGATAATATACACATTTAATCCTTATTAAGTACAAATCAATCAATTTATTCATAACTATAATTAGAAATCGATTATCCAATACGATAATGACACATGTCATAATCTTTTCAGTGAATATTAAGAAAAGTATAATGGGGTTGAAGGGACTCGAACTAAATAGAGTCGATTCCTGACCGCTATAACAATCCAAATATTTGTTTAATGGTTGATAAGAACTATATTTAGTTTGAAATTTAATGGATGTAATGTTAGAAAAATCCAGAATCTAGATACTTAACCATTAGATTAAAAAATTTGATCCGATCTAAGATAATATTATTATGATTAGTTATATATATTCTGATCGAATATATATTTTTACTTCAAAAATTGAATTAAATTTTAAATTAAAATACGTTATGAATAAAAGAGTATAATATTAGAGTCGGATTCGGGTCCACCGTCCCTGCTCTAAATTGGAATAGGGATGGGAAATTTGAAAAGGAATATTTAACCTTTGAGACAAATATAGACAACGATGTCGATGCACCTTCCTCTAACGGACAACGTCTCTGCCCGAATTTGTTGCCTTCTAGTTCTCTACCCCATAGGCCATAAAGTCCAAGATGCTGCCGTTTCAAACACGAATGCTTCAACTCCTACCATCACTTACCCATTTTAGATTTAAATTATTATTATTGTTAAATTTAAGAAAATATACATATTTTCATGATTAAACATAATATATATATATATATATATATAATGGTTGTCCCTTGATCTCGTAATGGGGTAAGGAGAGGTAAGATAGTAGGTTGCCCCTAACACTAGGTTGAGAACAACTTCCATAAGAGACCTCCAAATTATAAAATACTCTCTATAGGACTCGATCCCACGATCTCAAAGTTAAGAACCTTATGCTCTACCAACTGAATTGGATGGTCATTTCATAATATATATATATATATAACTTATGCTGTAAGTCAAGGTGAACGATGTAATGGAGCTTGTGATTCACTGATGTCTGGGTGTGACTGTCAACCGTACACACTGATGGTGGATTGGTGGTAGCCGTGGGTTACTATGTTTCGGTTAAAGTGATATCGTAATCTTAAAAATTTAAATTTTTATATAATATGTATATATTTTTTAATTTTTTATATAACTTATTTAAATCCACACTCATTTGTAGTCTTAAATACGTCTTTAATTATAATAATTGTGGAAAGTTATTAATAATGCCATTTGACTCCTTTAAGCTTGATAATTATGAATAATTGGAGATTAAAATACTCTAAAAATAAAAAGTAATAGTCAAAGTAATTATTTAATCAAATCGTTAGAATATTATATTTTTAAATATCTCATTCAAATTGTCATTTAAAAAAATTATTAAAAATCAGATACACTTCCCACCATTTTTTAGTTTTTCACCAAAAAATAAAATTTAACTCTTCAAAGACCAAATTATAACTTATTTATATTTATTTTAATGATGCTATTTTTTTTTATTAATATGGGATTAGTTGAAAGCAATGTCTGTTCTAAATAATTAAAAATTCCCTTTAATATTGAAAGCTCACACACCTGACGTTTACGGTGCTCGAACCCGGGTCTCAAGGAACGATAACTATATATGTTGGGGAATAATAGATAAAATTTTAATCATTAAATTGACTTAATTAAAATTACTTTTTATTATGCTTTTCTATTTTATTAAACTTTTTACATAATTTAACTTCCACTTGGGAGCTTCTGATTGATTTTGTTTAAAGAACGATGTTGGTGTTTTAGATTCTTTTCAGCATAATCCAAATTCAAAAAATAATGTAAAAAAGATTAAGGACTAAATTGAGAGAAGTTGTTAAATTAAAGGACCGAAAATTATTTTATTCCAAATTTTAAATCCAACAATACGACATGCGAGCAATAAGTGGAAAAAATGAGCGGATGGGTGACATGGTTGGGAGCTTTAATTGCAGAGAGAGAAGAAAGAGAGGGAGACGGAGGAAAGAAGACAAAGGGATTCAAGATTTTGCTTCATTTCAAAGTTTATTTAACTTTACCCCCATAGCCATAGCCGTTTTATTATCTATCTTCAAACCTTACTACTACTATATTACTTGTCAATGTCGTAATAAACTCTCTGCCATTCTTGTTTCTTCTTCCTCGAACCAGGTTTCCCACCATTTCTTATTTTTATTTTCATTTCGTCTGTTCCCTTTCCTTCACGGCTTTAAGTTAAACTCTCCATGTTCTTTAGTTTGTCTTTAATGCTGAAAGGGCTCGTGATTATGAACTCACATGGTTGATGAAGGTACACGTTTTTTCCGCCTTCCTTTTTTTTCTGGGTTTTGATTTGACTTTTGGAGATGATGAATAATGCATGAAATGGGTGTTTTTTTAACGATTCAGATATGATGGGTATGCCATTGTTTGTGGTATATTGAAACAATGCCGGTTGATAGAGTATAGATTGCATTCTGTGTTCATTTTCTGGGATCTTAGATGGTTTGAGCGTTATACTTTGTGTTCGTTATCACTTATCAGTACAATCAGGCTCTTGTTTATTACAGAAATCATGTACACTTTAGTAATATTTCTTTACCAGCCAGTCTCTGGGTTCCTTTTGATGGATATGTGTACGGGATGATGAAGATTTTTACATCATATTCAACCAGAATTCCCTCAGCTGTGCAGAACATTCAAATTCAGATCTCTTCCAGTTTTCGTTTGTTTGTGATGTCATGCAATGTTTGACTGAATAAACACATCAAATACCCCATTGTTAGCAGTCAAAACTCATCCACCCAAAAATGGATAGCAGATTACCTTGGAGCCCAGCTTTCAAGAGTCCTATGCTGTCACCTAAAAGCCCTGCAATATATGAAAAGTACAAGTCAGGATGTGCCTGGGGGTTAATTCACTTCTTCGATTTTCGCCAAGCTCATTCACATGGAAAGCTCATTTCCGATAAGAAGCGCCCCAACAGGCAGGCTAAAGGTAAGAAGCCCTTATCTTTGGTTGAGAATGAAGTATATTGTTCGATATGAATCTACATGTTCTTTAAAGTAGACTAATTGTTCTGATTCTTGATCATGTCATATGCAGTTTCTTCAAGTTTTATGGATGCCATGTCCATCTAAGTTTAGTTGTTCTGATTTTCATCTTCAGGTGATGGTTATAAAAGGAATAAGCCTAGTTTACTCTCTAAAGAGGAGAAGGCTCAATACGCAGATGTGAGTTTATTAACTTGCTTTTATGATAAAACTCGTTGCATATTCCTAGTACCTTTTTATATGAAGACAATTTGTTCTTTCTTTATAACAAATTTCGAACCGATTCTGAGCTGCAATTATGCTAAAACTATTATAGATTTTGACTTTGCATTTCATGGTGGTTCTTTTCTTCATTGTCTGATGCTTCACGTATATCTGTTTTGATTTCCTTCAGGATGCTGTTGATAACAAGAATGTTACAGCAAATACTAGGAAGAGAGATGTTAAAAATATTATAAAAGAGAGATTTCTGTGAAGCATCAGACAGAGAAGGAAAAGGCCAATGTTGAATTGCAGAACCAACAGGTTAACCCCAAACTTGTCAGTCATTCAAAGGAAAATAGGAAGGCGGGCAAGAGTTCTAAGAAATGCTGTCGATTTTCTGTTCATGGTTGTGATGCTGTGACTGAGGGGTGTTGGCAGCCTTTTGATAAAAAGATGGTTGAGAAATCTTCATATAACAACTTGGCACCGGTGACAGAAGCATCTTATAGCAATGTGAACACTACCAATGGAGGAAATCTTAGTTGTAAAAATGTTGGAGGCAGGAAGCATGGCCATCAGATGGAGATTAATGTTCAAGTTAAAATGAAAGAAGCGGTTGAAACTTTCGTAAATCAGAAGTTAACTGATGGGGACAGCCTTTGTAGAAATGAGGTAGACAACTGTTCTAACGAATTTATAGATGCATTGGAGGTTTTGAACTCCAACAAGCAACTATTCATGAAACTCCTACAAGACCCTAATTCACTGTTAGTGAAACATATTCAAGATTTACGGGATTCTCAGGTGAAAAAACAACCTCGATCTTCCTCCAAAGCTAAAACATCACAGTGCCAGCCAAAAGGAGCAGAGGAGTGTGAAGGGTCAGCAGATGCTCAAATGTTCCTCCCTAAGGGAAGCGATATGCCCCGTCCTTCAAACACAACAGCAGTCTTGATGTCTGGCAAACAAAATTGTCCTGATAAGGGGAAAAGTGTTATGTCAACATTCTTGTCTTTTGAACACATGAAAGGACGTTCAAACACGCGATGAAGGTGAATAAAAAAGAGCATCGCCAGATGTTCCTAGATGACATTTGTAGATCCCTGCATGACTTTGCACAGTTCGAAGATGGTGATAAAGAAAAGAGCAGGCAGGAAATTGAAAGAATCTCTGCTAATAATGTTGGGAACATGTCTGGATCTTTCCATGAGGCCAATAGACAAGAAGAGATAGACCAAACATATAACACTATTTCAGGCATTGGAAGCGAAGCTACCTCGTCCAGAGAGAGCTGTCACAGAACCTCAAATCTGTTAACTGTAAGGCATCTCAATGAAAATTTTCACCCTAATAAACACCCTTCAGATACGTCAAATAGAGGAAATGAAGATTTCTTAAGGAAATGGACACCGAGAACTTTGGATAGTTTGAAGTCTTTGCCTGCATATGACTTGTTGCCTAGACTTACTCCACAAAGGGACAAGGGACATGAGTTTGCATATCCACAAATGAGATTTTCACCATACAATAACTATTCAACTGTTAATGTATACAAGTGGAGGGCTCCGAAAGAAAAGAACATCTGCTTAAGTTCTCCCATTAATACTCTAGGCGTGCGGCCAGTGTCTGATGACAAAAGGGCAGAAAACCAATTGGAAGATGCAAAGAAAAGTATATCTGGTGATTTATCTCCACTCGCCAAAGTACTTCTTGATATGAAAGAGAAAAATGAAATTCCAATCATCATTTGTTCCTTATAATATAATATAATATAATTATATTTGAACAGGCAATCAAACTTCTGTATGTCCTGGGAAAGTGATGGAAGGAAATCATGCTGTTAGGTGTGACAAATGCAAAAGTAATGCTTTATATGTAGCTTTGGAACCAAATGGTGTGCAGAATACCAGCATGGCTCAAGAACTGAAGCAGTCAACGTCTTCAGAGAAAATGAATACTTTGAATTCTCAAAATTGGTAAATCCTTTTTCAAATTTTATTTTTGAGTTTCTCCAGTAGACCGGTGCATCAATTCTTCATCTCTTTCATTCATGTGCTGTGATTTCTCTTTTCTTGTTCTCCTGTTTAATCTTGTTGTCTTATTTCCTGAAGTTTTGTTCTATCCTCTCGCTTTGGTTTATATAGAATTCACCTTCGGGGGACCAAACATCATTTTCTTCAATAGATGTTTATTCATCAAGTCCTCCATTTATTCAAAGAGCAGAAATCTCTGATAGCATGAGTGATAAAGAAGAGCAGCCAAGTCCTGTATCAGTTCTTGAACAGGTGTTTGTCGAAGAGAACACTAGCTCTCCTGGCTCTGTATCCCTTGCAGGTGAATTCATTTCGTAGAAAAATTACTTGTTTATATAGAGCACATCGTTGTTTAGTACTGAGTTAACATCGGAATCTTACGCAGCTGAGCTTCCAGTCGAATCATCTTGTATAGATATTGAAGAAGACTATGCAACTTCTCTCTTGGAATGGCAGTTGGATCCAAAGAATAATGCAGGTACTTCTGAGGACAAGAAAGGATCTTTGTCTGAATGCATAAGAGAAGTACTGCAAGTTTCTGGTCTCAATTGGGATGAACTCTCCAGGAGATGGCATATTTCAGACCAAATGCTCGACACATCCTTGTTTGACAATGTTGAAGTATGGCCAAAGAAGTCCCGTACCGATCGGAGGCTGCTTTCTGGCTACATAAGTGAAGTCCTTTTGGAGATATATCAATGTTATTTTAGATGCTCCCCTTGGATATCGCTTCTCAACCTACAACCTAAGCCAGCTATGTTATCAAAAAATATGGTCCATGAAGTACTGAGACATGTTGACTGGCTCCTCCTCTCAAACCTGCCCCAACAAACATTACAGCAACTTGTTGAAAAGGATTTGTGCAAATCCGGAACCTGGATCGATATCCGACTCGATACTGAGGAAGCTGTTACAGAGTTAGTAGACGGCATTCTAGAGGATTTGGTAGTTGACGCTGCTATTTTCAACTCGTAGCATAAGCAGTACATGCTGGCTTCATGCTTCTTCCCAAATTGCATCTCTGGGAGTAGAGGCACCTTTTGCAGGGCAACACAACCAGTTTTCCATATTTTCCGAGGAGAGATCGACCTCTTTTCAGCTTCCTAACCTTAATTATAGTTATTTCCTCGGCGGAACGGCATGCATTACGACCCTAGAAGAGAGATGTTTTTGCTGGTTTTCGGGTGGTCTGGTGCATGGATTCAAACTATGGCCTTGACACTCCCTACATACATTTACATTAAACCGAAACAACTATCATCAGTTATAGGTTAATTTTTCAGTTCCAAAGAGATTTCCACCGAGACTGGATTAGCCAATATACATCAAATATTGGCTTACAGCTTGTAATTATCAAGTAATCATTCAGCCCACTGTTTTACAGATTAATTCCAATCGAGAATTTAAGTCATACATTATAAAGTTTATTAGGAATGCAATACCTTCAATTCACTTTATTCCATTTACATCAATATTTGATTCGAATCATTTAACGCTGTTTAAAAAGTTCAATGTTGATAAAAATAAATCACTCTTATTCACTTCGTCCTTCTCAGATTCGCTCAATCGATCATGTCTAAAGTTTAATGTTTGGCCATGATCTTTACTCCTATCTAGGTGACACCATGATATTTCCTCGAGGTCCATCACCTTCAACAGTATCCAAACCTAAAACCCAAGGTATAAAATTTAATCTTTATAAGATCAATTGATTCGCATGCCTTATTGACACCTTAAAAGAAGCTTAAGACACACTATATTCTTTGTACTGAAATAGCTCCTACACAAGAATCTTCGGCTTAAAAAAATAAATTGATGTTGTCGAAATTAAGGCATTACGAATCAATCGATCTTGTCGAAATTAAATTTTATACGTTAGGTTGAGGTTTGGATTTGTCGATAGAGATGGACTCTGGGAGAACAATCATAGTGTCGTTTAAACATGGGTAGAGATCACGATCAAACATGAGAGATTCGACTTAAACTTTCCAAATTACAAAGTTCATTAGTCGAGTAAGTTTCAAAGACAGTTGGGATCTTGGGTTAAACTGATCTAGATGATTATTGTTGTTCACGGACACAAAGAAATCATATGGAGTGATCATGATTTGAGTTGAATTACTGCTACTGAAATTTTAAAATTACCTTATATTTAAGATTTTTTATGTATTTTTTATTTAAAATATGTTATCGTCCCTAAAATTTATAAATTTAAGTTCGTCTTTCAAGAGTTTTATAAGCTCAAGTTCATCCCTTAACATAAAATCTTACGTGCATCTCTTATTAAAACGACATACATGCATGTGTCTTTCATTCTAATGGATTTTAGCATTTACTGTGTGTCAATGGGATGGAGACGGGTTCAGATCCGTTGACCGGCAATAAGGTCATGGAATTCTAAGACCGTTTGTGCACCGGTTTGCAAGCCACGTTAGCTTGTTTTCCATGAGCTTCATTACAATTTATAATTCAAATACCCCGAAGTTCAATATTTTTCATGCATGATTTCTTAAGAAAGCGAGTTTGAGTGACAGTCAGGGTCGTTAATAAGACGAGATAGATTGTGAGTTGTTTAAGATCAATTTGATTAAAACTTGATAAATAGTCGTGTAACACTCTAAACAAGTACGACACACAATCAACGATCAGAATGCCACAAAGAACCAACGGGGTGGCTAACCAAAATATTTCTTTAATTTTCTTAATTAAAACGATTACTTGAAAATACTCAAGATACAATAAATCAACCACAGTTATATAAAATACTTTACATTAATAGCTTCTAAAATAAATAAATCAAAATATACAGGCCAACTTTTAAAATGGAGTTACGACTCGAATATACAAAAAGGGGATCTACAAATATACATACCCTTTAAAGAATTAACTCGAGACGTATTCTGCTCTGAATCTCGGTATGAATCTCGGATGAACAAAAAACTCATCAACTGCTCTTTCTACTAACATGCGTAAAAAAACAAATTCCAAACGCTGAACTTACTAACCTAGTGTCACACTAACAACTAAACCATATTAATAATGTTCATTAAATGCTCAAGCTATCAAGGAAAATATGCAATAGTGAGAATACTCTTATACTGCACTCTCTACTCTATGGTAGACATCGTGGTGCGGCTGAGGGTTCTGTATCTCGGAGCTCACGAACCCCTCTAGTCTATGGAGGAATTCAGTCCCACTTTGATGGACTTTAAGTCCAGAACTATCAGTTTTGTGAAAGAAGGAAAAACTGTTGTTATTAAGGGAACTCAGAAATTACCCCTACTCAGAGCTATCACAGGGGAGAAATTTCAGAAATTAGCAGAAAATGATACTGAATTGAGTGGGGAAATTTTTTGGTTGAGTGCAGAAGTTACTGAAAGTAAAACTCCTACAACACTTCAGAATTTACTAGAAGAATTTCAGGAAATTTTTGAAGAACCTAAGGGAATGCCTCCAAGAAGGAAACATGATCATGCTATTGTCCTAAAACAAGATATACAGCCAGTAAATCTAAGGCCCTACAGATTTACACACTCCCATAAGACTGAAGTAGAGAAACAGATTGCTGAAATGCTAACAGCTTCTATCATTCAAGTTAGTCAAAGCCCTTTTGCTTCTCCTTGCCTGTTAATCAAGAAGAAGGATGGAACTTGGAGATTCTGTGTAGATTACAGACAGCTTAATTCTGCTACCATAAAAAATAAATTCCCTATTCCTATAGTGGAGGATTTACTAGATGAACTTAATGGAGCTGCATTCTTCTCGAAAATTGATCTAAGGTCTGGATATTGGCAAATCAGAATCAAGGAAGAAGACATTCACAAGACTGCTTTCAGAACTCACCAAGGACATTATGAGTTTAAGGTAATGCCCTTTGGGCTTACTAATGCCCCATCTACTTTTCAAGCACTGATGAATGATTTATTTGGGGAATATTTAAGAAAATTTGTTCTAGTGTTTTTGATGATATTTTAGTTTACAGCTCTAGCTTAACAGAACATGAACAGCATTTAAGAATTGTTTTAAGGATTCTGCTGGTAAACAAGTTATATGCTAAAAGGAGCAAATGTTTTTTTGGTCAACAACAAGTAGAGTATTTGGGGCATGTGATTTCAGCACAGGGAGTGGCTATTGATCCTGCTAAGATTGGAGCTATGCAGAATTGGCCTTTACCTAAGAATTTGAAAGCTCTGAGAGGGTTCTTAGGTTTAACAGGTTACTACAGAAAGTTCATTAAAGGATATGGCGAACTGAGCAAACCTTTGACTAATATGCTCAAGAAAGAGGGCTTTTATTGGACTCAGGAAGCAATGGTAGCATTTGAGAAACTGAAACAAGTTATGTGTAAAGCACTAGTGCTGGCTTTACCTAATTTTGAGCATAAATTTTTTTTGGAAACAGATGCTAGCTCAAAAGGCATTGGAGCAGTACTATCTCAGGATGGAAGGCCTATAGCTTATCTCAGTAAGGCTCTTGGACCAAAACATGCAGATCTATCAATCTATGAAAAGGAATATCTAGCCATTTTAATGGCAGTTTCCCACTGGAGACACTATTTAGAAAGTGGATCATTTGTTATCAAGACAGATCATGAGCCCCTCAAACATTTACTGGAGCAGAAACTAACGACAGTAATTCAGAAAAAGGGACTTACTAAGTTGTTGGGGCTGGATTATACAATCCAGTATAGAAAAGGCAAGCATAATAAAGTGGCAGATGCTCTTTCTAGACAACAAGCAGATTCTGGAGAATTTTTACAATGGGCATAACAGTTATTACTCCTACTTGGATTCAGGACATTCAACAGAGTTATGAGGAGGATGAAATTGCACATAAGAAACTACCTATTTTGGTTCTTCAATCAGATGCTATAGAAGACTGGAAGTTGGTTCAAGGGGTTCTGTATTTTAAAGATAAAGTATATGTGGGCAGCAAAGGGGATCTAAGAGAAAAGATTATTCGGGCTTTGCATGATTCAGCACTAGGAGGACATTCCGGCATTCAAGCTACATATCAAAGAATCAAGTCCTATTTTTTCTGGCCTAAAATGAAAACTATGATACAACAGCATGTGCAAGAATGTGAAGTTTGTCAACGGACGAAAATTGAACACATTGCTAAACCAGGGTTGTTACAGCCTATTCCAGTCCCAAACAATGTTTGGGAAGTCATTACCATGGATTTTATTGAAGGTTTACCAGCTTCTATGAAACACACATGCATCCTAGTGGTGATTGATAAGTTTACAAAGTATGCTCACTTCTTACCCTTATCTCACCCATTTACAGTGGTAGAAGTTGCCAGATTATACTTAGACCAAGTTTACAAATTACATGGTCCCCCTAAGGTTGCTATCTCAGATAGAGACAAAATTTTCACCAGTCTATTTTGGCAGGAGTTATTGAAACAATTGGGAACGACTACATTCTTTAGCACTGCTTATCATCCTGAAACGGATGGACAGACTGAACGACTCAATCAATGCTTAGAACAATACCTTAGATGTATGTGTTTGCTTAAACCATCATCATGGTCAAAGTTCTTAGCTCAAGCAGAGTGGTGGTACAATACTAATTACCACACTGCTTTGAGAATGACTCCATTTGAGGCACTATATGGATATAAACCTCCTACCTTAAGTTGGTCAGACGAGTCTAAGGTAGGGGCAGTTCAGGACATGATGCAGCAGCGTGTTCAGTTAAATACATTGCTACGAGAACAACTACTAAAAGCCAGCAATCATATGAAACAGATAACAGATCGTAATCGCACTGTTTACCTGAAACTTCAGCCTTATCGACAGACATCACTTGCTCTGCGAAAAAATCTGAAACTTGCTGCCAGATACTTTGGTCCCTACAAAATTCAGCAAAGAATTGGTAAGGTTGCTTACAGATTACAGTTATCGTCCGATTCTAAATTACATCCCGTGTTCCATATCAGTTTACCCAGCAATAGTCTTGAATAAAAGGATGATTAAACGCCAAAATCGAGCAGTTACCCAATTATTGATTCAATGGACGAATATGGGACCAGCTGAGGTGACATGGGAAGATTATACGGTGTTAAAGGCTCAGTTCCCTGATTTTGATCCTTGGGGACAAGGATCCTCTGGTGGAGGGGGTATTGTCATGATGGAAACTGAGTTAGGGTTGAAAAAGGGAGATTTGGGAATGAAATTGAATCAATTAGGGATTGCAGAGAATTTGGGAATTTGGAACGGGAAGAAGAGTGAAATTGGGAGAATTGGAAGTAAAAATGAAGAAGTTACTATTGGGGCTAAAGTGGATGAAGTAAAGGGGTTACCTGATAGAAATAACGGGCCAGGATGATTGGGCTCCAGTATTATCCTTTATGGAATCAGCC